GGGGGGGGGGGGTGGTCTAGAGGTAATTTTTTTAAAAGAGCATATAACTTAGCATTATTTGGAAAATGAAAATGGAGAATGAATCAAGAGAAAATGATTTATGGCACAGGGTATTACAAAATAAGTATAAGAAGGAAGTTGGTTCCTTAGATAAGAAAGGAAGGAGATGTACACAGTGGTGGGTTGATATATCAATTATCTTAAAGAAGATAATAATTGTTTTCGACCTAACTGTTGTCACCACACTCAATGGGTTGGGAGGTTTGGGGGACACTTCATTTTGGCATGACCATTGGAGGGTTTTATTAGTGCTTTGAATTTCTATTATGCATTCGTAGGTGTGTTTTTATGCCTTGCTTTTAGAGGCACGTGTTGCTATTTGTTATTATGTAACGTATATAAATAGTGTTTCTTTTGATATTTTGACTTGTCCTAAAATATTTAATACTTTAAAAATTAATAAAAAAATATTAGTATTTTTTAATAATATATTAATTTATTGATATTTCACCAAAATACATATAAAAAAAATCATTACTAATTTTGAAGTATTTTAATAAAGGTCTTTTGTCATTAAAAAAAATACTTTATGATAATAGCTTATATAATGAGAAATGCTAAGGCAATTCCATTCGGAGTTACTTATCATTTTTGTTAAGAATTATGTTCATTAAGATCTCTCCCTTGGAGCTAGCTAGTTCCTTTTAAGAACATGTAAGAGATTTTATTTTTGGACATATATATATTTTAAAAAAATTATAGTAATAGTAAAAGTTGGTAGTAATATTAATGGGATGAAATGTCAAGATATATGTATGGAACTCGTTTATTTTTTTTTTTAAGATACACTATATTGAAAGGAATATATAGTTGTTTAAGTTATGAAAAGTTAAAAAAGAATGACGTGTGATAAGGAAATCTATTTAATATCTAAGTTATAAATTATAATTTTAATCTTTTAATGATATTAAATTTGTAATTTTAGTATTTTTATCTTTAATTTTTGTAATTTTAGTCATTAATTTTATAAAATTTATAATTTTAATTTTTTATTATTAAATATTCATTTATTAATAATTAAAATTATAATATTAATCATGATTTAACATTAAATAGTTGATATAATAATTAATTTTTAATAATATTTAAACTAATTTATATTTATATTTTTATTACATTTTTATATTATTTTATTATTTTTATTAGATAGAAATGAAAATCAATAGTAAAAATTATTTTAATATTATTAAATATTAAATATTATATTATTTATATAATGTTAAATTATGATTAATATTATAATTTTAATAATGAAATTGAAATTATATAATTTATAAAATTTAAAATTAAATTAGTATAATAAAATAAAAATATAAAATTTACATATTTGATAAAGAAAATAAAAGTATAATTTGTTGGCATAGACATGGTGTAATTACCTGAAGGTGGTGGTAGTTGAAGTTGAAGGTGCTCTAAGCCTGC